ATTCATCATTACTAAATGCTGCGTCTGGTAGATCGGCTGGCCAGCATATCCGTTTCAGCGGCACAACGCCCCTCGATGCGGCCGGCGACACTGTTTGTTTTTGTTCGGATGGCCCGGGTCGGAGCTAGGTGGANCGGCCGGCGACACTGTTTGTTTTTGTTCGGATGGCCCGGGTCGGAGCTAGGTGGAGCGGCATCGATCTCGGACGCTCCCGTCCCTGCGACAGTCTGGCCCCCAGACATTTAGCGGAGTGTCGGCGACTATAAAGTGTTCACGGAGGTGGGCGGAATTTGCCCTTCTGCTTTCGTGAACGGGTTGCAGGCGTTGCCAGGCCAACGCGGCAACCGTAGAACCTAGCCCCATCTCTAACACCTAACCGGTACATAGAGCCTGCCTGCTAAGAAAATCTTTTTTCTTCCATTTTTCGCGTCGTAGCACAATATCGGAGATCGTCGAACGGTACACAAGCCACGGCCGCTGGCGATAAGCAGCGATGGCGTCTTGCTGTCGTTAGGGGTAAACTTTAGTAATCTAGATTGTAAGGTGGGCATGTTTAATGGGCCTCGGCATCCGCGCCATGCTAAATGTTTGCGGCAGCAGTGCCGGTGCGTCGGCGCGCGGAATATGTCCCAATAGAAACACCGAGTCACGTCGCCGTGCATCCGCTATTTGTCCCCCTTCGTATTTCTCCCGGGGTTTACGAAAAAAAAAAAAAAAAAAAAAAAAAAAAAAAAAAAAAAAAAAAAAAAAAAAAAAAAAAAAAAAAAAAAAAAAAAAAAAAAAAAAAAAAAAAAAAAAAAAAAAAAAAAAAAAAAAAAAAAAAAAAAAAAAAAAAAAAAAAAAAAAAAAAAAAAAAAAAAAAAAAAAAAAAAAAAAAAAAAAAAAAAAAAAAAAAAAAAAAAAAAAAAAAAAAAAAAAAAAAAAAAAAAAAAAAAAAAAAAAAAAAAAAAAAAAAAAAAAAAAAAAAAAAAAAAAAAAAAAAAAAAAAAAAAAAAAAAAAAAAAAAAAAAAAAAAAAAAAAAAAAAAAAAAAAAAAAAAAAAAAAAAAAAAAAAAAAAAAAAAAAAAAAAAAAAAAAAAAAAAAAAAAAAAAAAAAAAAAAAAAAAAAAAAAAAAAAAAAAAAAAAAAAAAAAAAAAAAAAAAAAAAAAAAAAAAAAAAAAAAAAAAAAAAAAAAAAAAAAAAAAAAAAAAAAAAAAAAAAAAAAAAAAAAAAAAAAAAAAAAAAAAAAAAAAAAAAAAAAAAAAAAAAAAAAAAAAAAAAAAAAAAAAAAAAAAAAAAAAAAAAAAAAAAAAAAACGATGCCTGAGGCATTTTGTGAGGCGTAATATGAGATGAGGGTGACAAATCCCAAATATTGTAGGCGATGGCGATACCGCAACAAAATGCCGTCCCTGGGCGAACATCGTGACCCCTGGATGTCGTTCGTCACTGCCGCTAGTTATTTCTGGGGAGAGGTGTGGATTTTTCTTAGCCTGCCAACGCTGCTCCGCTTGTGCTTTTGTGACGTAATATTGCCTTACCTGCAGGAGAGGTGCTCGTTCGAGCGTTCCACCATTACCAATCGTCACACTCGCCCCCTAATCGGTCGCAGCGCCCCCTCACCCGACATCAGCGCCGGGTATTATCCACATAACCAACGTTTAATTTCTTAGCTGGGTGTCGTTATTTCTTCGCTATCTATTTGCGTGCCAAGATTGCTTAGCGTCGCCCCCTTAGCCCCACCCCTTGCCTCTGTCGATAACCTCTATCCTTCAAAACACCGGTACCGCCTCGTTTTGGTATGGCGCCTTTTTCGCGCGAATTCGCTGCGGTCAACCCATCTTTCCATCCACCTCACCACGGCCCCAAAATACACCCAGCGGCAATGGAGGTTGTTGGTCCGGGAGAGCTCTCCCACTTCGGACCACACACCGTGACAAACCACCAGCATACAGGGCTGACCAACGCCCCGCTTACACCGCTGCTGTTCCAGGTCCGCGAGGACGACGATAACGACACCCTGCCCAGCAGCGTCGAGCTCGACGACGAGCGCAAGCTCTTCGTGCCCCTGTTTGCCCCCACCGTGGGTTTGGCACCACCTGGGCGCCGATCTAGCGCCGCTCTGAGCGTGGTCGACCCCGTGGGTCAGCGCCCCGCCCCCCCTCAACGCTTAAGCTCCACTCTGGCAGGGCTGTTGCTGACGCTGCCGCTGGCACCGGCGGCGCCCACCGCCATCGAACTGATATCGCCGCTGTCCACCGTGCCCCAGATGCCGCCTAATTTACGGCGCCACACCGTCGCCACCCCGCAACCGGCATCCTCGATCCTTTTGAGGCAGGAGAACACCGCCAGTAGCCAGCGGTTGTCGCTCGAAGCGACGCGCCGCCACACCAACGTCGGACCTCACCACAAGCGCAACACATACCCCGGGGTCGAGCCCCAGGCGCTGGTAAGCATCGACCAAGGCTCCCGTGTCCGCAACTCCATCAACATCACCCGCAAGATCCGCCGCCGCCAGCAAGAGTACGATGACGACCGCGTGCTTGTCGGCAACAAGGTGAGCGAGGGCCACCAGAACTTCATCATGGCTTACAACATGCTCACGGGCATCCGGGTGGCGGTGCTGCTGTGTCTGGGGGTGAAGAAGAAGCTCACCGATGACGACTTCACCTATACCAATAAGTTGGCATTTAATCTGTCAGGCAACGGTAACACTCCCGGGACGCGCTACGACTTCAAGTTTAAGGACTACGCCCCCGAGGTGTTCCGGGACTTGCGCAGCCTTTTCGGGCTCGACCCCGCGGACTACTTAGTGCTGGTCACCGGTCAATACATCTTGTCCGAGCTCGGGCTGCCGGGGAAGCTGGGGCTGTTTTTCTACTATCTGCGTGACTACCGCTTCATCATCAAAACCATCCACCATCTGGAGCACCGTCAATTGTTGCACATCCTCAAGGACTACCACGCCCACGTCCAGAATAACCCCAACACCTTGGTGCTGCAATTCTACGGGCTCCACCGCGTGAAGATGCCGTGGCGTAACGGCATGAAAAAAGTGCATTTTGTCGTCATGAACAACCTTTTCCCGCCCCACCGCACCATCCACCGCAAATACGATTTAAAGGGGCTGACGATGGGACGGGTGACCCGTGTCAACCCGAGCGAGAAGCTGGCCCTCCTTGCCGAATCCGACGTCACCCTCAAGGACCTCAATTGGCTCGAGGATAAGGCGCTGATAAAGTTTGGTCCAATAAAACGGAAATTGTTCTTCGACCAGCTCGACAAAGACGTCGCTTTCCTCGAGAAAATCAACGTCATGGACTACCTGTTATTGCTAGGAATCCACGACGTCAGCCGAGGCAATGACGACGAGCTTAAGCTTCTGATGTTCGACCCGAAGTCGCTGGACCGCTACGAGTTGCTCCAGACGAGCCCCCGCGACATCGACCGTACCGACTTGCCCGACCAGGTGTACCCGGGGCGGCTGCGATTTATCTTCTATGGCCACGACGGCGGGATCCGCGCCACCAACGAAGAGAATCGCCCGCTCCAGGAGATTTACTACCTCGGCATCATCGACTGCCTCACTCGCTACGGGTTCAAGAAACGCGTGGAAACATTATTCCGGTCGATGGTCCACCCACGACCCACCATCCTGGCGGTGCCAGCAAAGGAGTACGGCGAAAGATTCCTCAAATTTATTAAGATTGGCACGTCCTAGTGACTCTCGGGGCGAGCGGTTGTTGAACACGATAAGCATAACTAACTAGACGCACGAGTATTTATAGCATTGCAGACATTCTGATTACATATCAGAAGAGTATTATAAAAGTAACACAGATTTGAGTTTTTCCAATGAAATTAACTTACATTTTTCAAAAATTGATCGTGAGTGTATTCTATGTACAAATGTAGTGGCTTACGCCGAGATGTCGTCCAAGTATTGTTGGTCCTTCTTGGCGATGACCTGGTCCACCAACCGGTTCACCACCTTGTGCTTGGCCTGAGGGGCGTCCTCGGGGCGCTTCCATTCTTCGGGGAACTTAGGTTGAGGCTTCTTGATGTGGTAGCGCATGTGTCTGGGGTCGACGGGGATATCAGCAAAGTCGTCACTAGAGTCCTTGGCCGCTTCCACAAGCTTTCCAACAGTCTCCACCAAGAATCTGGCGTTCTGCGCCGACTCCGGGTAGCGGGAGCACAGCATGTGGAACACGTTGGTGTCCAAGTTGAACTTGTTGCCCGCCAAAAGCTTGAACTTGTGTTGCTGAGGCTTGGTCAACGCCAAGTCGGCAAGTCTTACTTGCACCAGCACCTTGCGGTTGAATTTCAGGGTGGAGTCGTCGCTGAAGTCGGTGTGGTAGGTCATTTGAAGCGGCAGTTCCTTCGGCTTCAGCGGGACGTATTCCTGGGCAAACTTGGCGAGCAACGGCATCTCGTAGGCCGCAACTCTCGTCAAGTGCTCGTGGCGGCGCTTGATGTGGGGGGTGTCACCGCGGCCTAACACCTCGACGTTGGACAACTTCTGGGCGTCCGATCTCTGGGCCACGGGGACGTTGTTCATGTACTTCTCCTTGAAGTTGTCGAGGGCATACACGTAGTCGAGCTTGGGCCCTTGCTTGCCCAGGGAAAGCGCCGACACCGTCGAGAGCACCGCGTGGCGCTCCTCATCGGTCGGGGTGTACTTGTCGCCCAACTTCTGCTGCCGGAGCTTGTGGAGCTCAAACACCTGGTCGGCAGGGAGGCCCTGCCACATGTGGGGGTTGAGGTAGAGCGGGGCGTTGCTCTGGAACCGCTTGGCCACTCGTAACATCATGGTCAGAGAAGAGTTTTTCGCGGAGCGAGTGAAAAACGCCTGGTGTTAGTGAGTGGTCTATGAGCCTAACTGGTAAATCAGGGAAGAAAAAAAATTAAATAAATGATTTAGTAAGATTTAGATTTGGTAGTTTGACTTCGTAGTTTTTAAGTGTTTGTCGTTGCTTGTTGCTTTGATGGTTGATCTCTAGTGCGACGACCAAAGCCCCTCATGAGTGTGAGAATATGGCCTGCACACTACTAGATACAAGAAGGTGTAAATTTGTATAGACCCCAACTAATAGTACATATTTAATTTAAATCAAAAAGTGTAAGGTGACTTGGCGTAATCCCAGCGCGCGACATTGGCACCCTGCAAGCAAAACAATGGCCTTGGCCGTGGATTATTCATGAGAACTGAAAAATACGACTCGGGTGCAAATCTGACTGTCAAAGCCACATCAGTAAAAAGGGAGGTGCAGCTAAAAATTCACATGAGCGAAAGACATCAATGGGTTGCATCACTATTGACGCTTCTGGCGAGTGCGCCGGGAACTCTGCCGAGGACTCCGCGGCTGGCGAGGACTGGTGGTCACCATGTTGGCAATGTCAAACGACGGTTGCTTCCGCTTCCGCAGTGGGGTCAGCGTCAGCAGTTGTTGCTGTGCGGAGGTATCGTCATTGTCTTCCTTTTTAACCAGAGATTTGGTGTCAGCAGACTCACGCTTTACTTTGGTCTTATCCGCGGCATCACCGTCGCTCTTGTCTTCGGTCTTGATCCGAGACTTCTCCGAGCTATATTTAGCGTCGTTGGCGTCGCCACTGCCCTTTTCGGCCTTCACTTGCTCGCCAATTTCCGGTTCGGGCTTTGGGGTAAAAAAGTCGCTGATGGAACCCTGTTCCATTGGCTTAATGAGCTTGGCGCCTTCCAGGCGCGTGTTGCCCACCGCTGACCCCACGCGGTAAATCTCAATATCCTTATAAGCCGGATTGGACTTGGTATTGAGCACAAGCTCCTCGATGTCAGCTAAGGCCACTTCGGGGTCGAGCCACTTATACCACGCCTCCAGTCCCGGCTCCACCAAAATCGGCTTTCTGCGGTGGAGCCACAGAATGTCGTTGTCGTCGTCCGATGTCGCTGGCCCCGTGCAAATGGTGAATGTCAGCTGAGGCATGTCGTCGCCGAAATGGGCATTGTGGGCGTAGAGGCCAACTAAGAAGATGAAGGGTGCATGGGAATAGTGGACAAAGTGCGGTACTTTCTCCTCTTTGATCGTCGTCCACTCAAAGTAGCCCTGGGCCGGGATCACGCACCGGTGGTGGTTCTTGGCCAGGTTCCACACCCGCAGGTGCTTCAGCGTGAGCGTATCCGAGCGGCAGTTGAACGTTCGCAGCTGCTGTTTGCGGAACGACTTGCGTTGCTCCTCCGGTGATTGGTCGGCGGGGGGAGTCAAGTAGAACGGCACCAAGCCAAAAGAGCTCATTTCGATCTTGTAGTGGTCCTTGGACTGTTTATGGTTGGGATCAGCGTAGAGGATCAACGCCGAGTTGGTGGGAGCAATGTTAAACAGCGGGTGCCATTTGCTGGCGGCGGTAGTGTCTAGGTGCCACTGGTGGTCGCCCACGTCGACGCGGATGTCGTTAGTTGCGCCCGTGGCCCCCGAGCCGTTTTCTGAGGTATTTGCCTGATTGGTGGGGTCACCCACGTGTCCCAATTGTTGCGGGAGATCGGTGAGATCCACTCCCTGAGCAAAGCGGCCACACATTGCGGAGAACGAGGTTACACCCGGAGGTACAAACAGGAGCTGGAGTGAGCGAAAGCACGCGCGTGCGGCTGCAAACGGCTGCTGGCTTCGGTATTTCGGATATGCACCAAACATATAATGTCGAGCGGTTGTGTGCAGGACAATATCTCCATTACGTGCACTACAGTAGTTGCCAGTAAATGTGACACCGTAGAATTGTGATAGCAATGTAAGTGAGTAACTGTCGTCGATGATTAATTATAAACTAGTCGTTGTCGCTGGAGATGTCGCTATGTCGTTATGTCGCTGAATGTATGGGTTAATGGTGGGTGGGGTGTCGTGTCTCTCAATTAAGGTCAATGCGGCGGCCACTGGTAAGCATCCGTTGGAGCTGGTCAAGGGACATGGGCCGGTCGCCCGAAATCATTTTGCGGTGTAACATGTCCTTGATTACGTCCACCGATGTTTGGCGCCGCATCGCCTCTTCTTCAATGAATTTAATGATCTTGTGGCGAGTGTGGCGGAACTGACGCTCCAGCAGCCCGTGCACTTTAAGCCACTCCGTCACCGTGATGTTGTGGGCTGCTAATCCACGTTCGACGTCCTTGAAATCGTTCCACATCTCGTAGAGAGTCGTGGCTTGGCGCAGAAGCCGCCGGTTGAGAACAGCCAGCCGGAGTGCCAGTTGCGGCAGTACCACTGGAGATAACGTTTTGATCACTTCTTTACGCCAGGCGTGAGTATCGTCGTCACTAGGGTAGCTGGGACTTGATACTGGGTCCTCGGGTAAGGCGAGCGACGCTGCTGTCGCTTTGATAGAGTCAGCCATCATACCAAGCACCCCTTGGTTTTCCATGATTTCTTGCAGAATATGGAGGTTCGTCTCAATAAGATGGGAGGCATTAGATAAGTTTTGCTGGATGAGGATGAGCTGGTTGTGGCTGTAGAAGTTGTAGGTGAGCAAGTAGCACCCGTGGCACACGTTGCGTAACTGCTGGAGGTAGTGGACTTGGTGGGCGTACTGCTGGCGCTGGCGAAGCACAAACGAGTCAAAGTCATGCAGCATGTGAACCAATTGGTCGTGGGCCTGACGGAGCTGTTCCTGGAGCAGGTGGACGTCAGACGGCATCGGTATCGGCAGCAGGAACGTCGCCAACCGGTACTGGGGCGGGTCCAATGCCCATACCTTATCGCAGTAGTCGTCAAACTGCTTCAGCTGGAAGAGAGGGTGGCGCAGAAGCGGCAGGTGGGGGTACCGGTTGCGAATTAAGGCCATGTCCTGAACCAACAGCACCCGTAATTGGCGGCACAAATGGTGGAATTGCGCCCGCACGGTGCCAATATTGTTTTCGGTGTCGACAAAGGTGAAGATCTGGGACACCACTTCCGGGGGAGGCGGCACTTCGTCTCGAACAATGTGGTAGTCGGCTACCAGCAGGAATCCAGCGTGTTCCACTAAGTGGGCAAGGTCAAGGTGCTCCACTGCCAGCGCTGTGGGTTTATTATCCGACAGCGGTGGCATCCCTTTGACGCCAGCAGTATAGAGAGCACTAGTGGCCAGATTATGCTGTTGGCTGTAGCTGATCAGCTGGAACTTATTGTTGCCCCAAAGGAGCATGATGTCGGCGATATTATATCGATTGAGCTCGATGTTCTTCAACTCGATTGCGCCATAATCGTCGGCAATGTGGAACCGGGAGAACAAGTAGGCGGCAAGGGCAAAGTGGGGACACCCTTCGACGTAGCGATGGCGGAGGGCACCGGTATACTTGGTAGCCACCGACACTCCGCCGGTCTCCACCGACAACACTGAGCCGACGGGGGTAGGGTGCATCGATAAGTGGCCGAAAGTAACGCTGCGCTTCTGGAACGCTTTAAGGCCAAACGATTGTGTCAACAGGAAGTCGGCTAGGGTGCGGAGCCCCTTGCGGGCGTCGAGGTACGACTCGGGCGGGAGCGGGCCCAATAGTGTCACCACTACTCGAAAGTAGTCGTCCATTTCCGGCGCCAAGCGGGTCGCCGGTGATTATTTATCTGCGTAATTTTACCTTGAGCAGAACCGTGTCTTCCTTGCATAAAGTCGCCTATCGCTGTACATCGATGTCGAGCTAAAAAAAAAAACACGGGTTTAGACGACCCCGCCACCCGATGATAATCTTGTGTCGACACCTAGGGTCTGGGAGAGTGGGGGCTACGTGTGCGTGGCTTACTGCTGTGGCATAGGGCTATGGCGGTGTCTAATTCTCTTTTGAAAACCGTAATATTATTTGACACCGGGCCCTCGGCTTTCTCTCACGGTTACCGAGTTTAATTAGCATCGTAGCTAATTCACTGAGGGTGTCGGTGCCGAAAGTTCTAGCGGCAGCATTGACGCAGTGGCAGCGTGTGAGTTCGCCCCCACTCTGCTTCCCCCAGAACTCCGACACATTTTGCCTCCGGTGCGGGTGGAGATCGTCGTCGCCCGCCGATCACTCGGCCACGAAACGGCGTTATCCCCCATAACCCCGGCCCCGCTTCACGGTATCACCACCGGCTTAAACCGTCATTGATCGACGATCGTTGTCAGATGCACCAGCGGTTATTGCTTTTTTTGACATGTCCAGCCGACACTTGCGGTGTCTGTCTCTTTCGACGGCCACCAGGCTTATGGTGAGCGCCGCACCGTTGTATGGGAAACTGGGCCCTGCACGCGAATGATAGCCAAGAATTCACCAGCGGATAAGCCCCCCTGGCCCACCTGTCCGCCCTACTCATCGGTGCCGGCATTTGTCACCGTACATATCTAGGCGTACCTCGTCAATTGTCAATATTCCCTAAACGGCGTAGTGGGAAAAATAATCCCGAACGATGCCCACCATTGTCGAAAGAAACCGTGTGAATGACGACGCCTCCCGTCGTGTAACTACCGTGCGCCTCCAGGGATGTTGTCGATGGTTCCCCGCGCCGCCTTGGCATTGTATTCCCCGAGTTATGCCACATTTGTCACTCGACAGGAATGTCGTCTAATTTCAGCGATCGAAGAAATTGGCGTGGAATTGCTTGTCCGAATGATCATCCCCTTGCCTGACCCCGTCAATGACAGAAACGGGTAATTCGTAGTTTACTTATAGTAGTTGTCTATATACATTTGGCTTAATCATATTCGTTTAACGTAAAGCTGCTTCGATTTCGGCGACGTGGGGGAGCGTCTTGAGATTGCCCACCGCCGCCATGGCTACGGGGACCCCCTTCAACCGCCAGTTGGCCCAGTCCTGGACGTCCTTCTTGGTGATCTTTTCCACCCGTTCGAACGTTTCTTCCGGCAGAAGACGGTAGCCAGTGTTGACGAGCTGGCGACCAATATCTTCGGCAATCGCCGTCAGGTCATCCAAGCCGAGGACAAGCGCCGCCTTAAGCTGAGCCTTGGAGCGTTCCACTTCCTCGTCAGTGATATTACCTTCGCGCAACCGCTTCCACTCTTTGAGGACAGCTTCGGTCAAAAGACGAAGGTCAGTGCCCAGGTCGGTGGTAAAGTATACCCCTTGGAGACCAGTGTCGGCGTAAGAGGTAGTGTAAGCCATGTAACTGTTGGCGATGGGAGTACCGCCGGGGCCACCAGTGGCAGCCATCTTCGCCAACGGACTGGGCGAGTGGGCACCAATACCGACACTACGGTCCCAGGTACCGATGATACCGTTAGCCACCAGGGCACAGAAGAAGTCGGGTCCACTCCACAGCGCCCCCTCAACGGCGAGAGCCACGTGAGTGGTGGGCATCAGGTCATCTTGCACTCTGTCTTCGCCACCACAGAATACCGGCACGTCACCGTGGTCAAGCCCTTGGCCCGGAGCCAGAGGGGTAATGTTGGCAAAGTACTTTTCTCCCATCTTCACAAGGGCGTCGTGGTCGACGTCACCCACACCGATAAGCGCCATCCGTTCCCCCTTGTAGTTAGTCAGAATGTAGTCAACAAGATCCTTACGGTTGATGGTTCTAATCTTCTCTCTAGGACCTAAAATGGTACGGCCCAAGTCTTGGTTAGGGTAGCACACGGCGTGTAAAAGGTCAAACACCACTTCGTCGTACATCTTATCGATCTCGTCCAGCTCCTGGAGGATGACGTTCCGCTCGTTTTCAATCGCCCGCGGGTCAAGCTTCAGTTTGGTCAACAAGTCCAGCAAAATGTCGACGTTTTGGTCGATATCCTGAGCGAGACACTTGGTGTAGTACACAGTGTTTTCTCTCAGAGTGTAGGCGTTGATTTGCGACCCCAAGTTCTCGATTTCAAGCTCAAGCTGGTGCTGGTTGCGTCTGTTAGTCCCCTTAAACGCTAAGTGCTCGAGGAAGTGGGCAGTACCCAGGTTGGCGTTGGTATCGGCGCGAGAACCGGCATTGATCCATACGCCCACGGTGGCGGTACGAGTACCGGGCATCGTTTCTGAACACACGGTGAGCCCGTTATTGAGGGTGGTTTGACTGAGCATGCGGCGCAGAGCCCGCAAGCATCTCGTGGCGGCGAGCATGGTTGGGTTTATATGGGTATTATTCGGGTAGAGGTCGCACCGGGTGGATGATGGCTCTTAGTGCGATTGTGGCGTCACCGCGGGTAATTTCTGTCGGAGTTAGAAAATCACGGACCAACAACGAAACAAGTGATATTGCCGGCTAAACGCTTTGATAATGCTTAAACATTAATGGTCTAGGTTTGTTAAAGCTAATCAACGTAATTTGGTGATTGTAAATTAGGAAATTCCTCAGAAATGCTCGGAGTTCATTATGAGAAGAGGAGCCCAGCTAAGCACGGTTGACAACGCAAAATTCGTTTATCTTAGCCAAAAATACCGTTTAATTATCATCTACTTTTATATTACTCTACTGGAATCCCTAAGTTCCTTTACTGGGGTGACGGACACTTTTACACGAGACACTTATCATTGTTGGTGCGGACCCCTTTTCATCATGATAAGGCATCCGGTCGACACCCCCGTGACGGCGTTGGACGACAGCGACGACGACGTGATATTCCGTGAGCGTGATGATGACGTCGTCAACGAGCTCGACTACGAGTTTAGCCTGCCCACGTGGCAGGAGCGTCTCCGCCAGTGGTGGAAACCCCGTCCGTCTCCGCCGGCGTACGAGATGGTGAATATGGATGGTGGCGATCCGTCACTGCCACCGCCACCAGCACACCCGTTGAAAAATGCAGTTAACCGTACATTTAAGGGAACGTTGGCCTTATTTGGTACCGTGCTTGTTGGGGTGATCATCGCGTTTGTGATTGTTGTACCCCCTGGAGGAGGCTCTACTCCTCAATTCCGACCGCTAGAGTATGAAACTGTATCTAACGGTACCCACAGATTTAAGCCGACGACGATATTGGTCAGTCTCGACGGTTTCCATCCTCATTACATTTCCCAAGAAGATACCCCTACCCTCAACCATATGTTCATCAACGGCTACCTGAGTCCATATATGACTCCATCATTCCCCAGTTCGACGTTTCCAAACCATTGGACGTTGATTACTGGTCTTTATCCCGGTGATCACGGTATTGTTGGTAATACGTTTTGGGACCCTGAAAGAAAGCTTCCTTTCGTCAATACTAACCCTGAAAAGGGGTCGATGGACCCCGATTTCTGGCGAGGAGGCGAACCTATTTGGAAAACCGCTGAATTGCATGGATTTAAGGCTGCTGTTCATATGTGGCCAGGACTGGAAGTTCCCGAAGTGGGTGCTCCACTTCACGATAAGTTTAACGCTTCTGAAGAACTCGGTAAGAAAATCGACCGTATCATGGGGTGGATTGATTTACCTGACGATGATCGGCCTCAGCTTCTATTGGCTTATGTGCCTACGGTGGACACTTATGGCCATAAATATGGAATTGCTGGACCTGAGCTTAAACAGGCGTTGACAGCTACCGATGGGTTTGTCGGTGAGCTTTTGCACCAGCTTGAACAGCGTCAATTGCGTGGGTTAGTGAATGTGGTGGTGACCTCAGACCACGGCATGGCCCCTACTTCTCTAGAGAGAACGGTGTTCCTTGACGATTTAGTCAATCTTGATGATATTGACCACATTGACGGCTGGCCCAATTGGGGTTTACGTCCCCGAGAGGGAGTTGATTTGGAGGCGTTAAAGGCAAACATTACGCGACGCCTTCAAGAATTGGAAGCGCAAGATAACTACGATGTATACCATTTGGATGAAGTTCCCGATCAGTTCCACTTTGGTGTTGATTCAGTATTTTCCTACCGGATGGCTCCGCTCTGGATTTTCCCTCACGTTAGTTACTCAGTGGTCACTCGAGCCAAACTTGAACTGAATGGTGGTGAGCTCAAACCGATTGGGGTTCATGGATACAACAATACTGAGTTGTTGATGAGAGCCATCTTTTTGGCGGAAGGACCATATTTCAGCTCAAACCGGTACCCATTAAAACTCCAGCCATTTGAAAACGTTAATGTGTATCCGGTAGTGTGTGACTCGTTAGGGATGAAGCCCGCTGCCAATAACGGGACCCGAGTCCTCACTAAGTTAGCTCCCGGGTGGATGGATCTGGTGGCGGAATACCCCGGGTTGCCGTTTGATGTTGACCACTTAGTGGTGAAGAATAATACCTACGACTACTTGTACCGCACCCCGCAACGAAAAACGCTTGGTCAGTCAGCTGGAGGGTTGATTGATGGTGCTCTTGATACGTTGACCGGGTGGGGAAACTCGATTGGTCACTGGTTTAGTGGCGATAAAGGTCCTGATAAGGTGTAAGTGTATAATGTGATTAGACGAATAAATCTCAATTTGGTGAATAATCCTCAAATTTGAATGAAAAGTGAAGAAAGTGAGCTAAGAGTGAAACCTGCACCAATAGTTAGGTCTAGTTGGTTGATGCAATCACAACATATAACGCTAAAGATTTTCACAAGCAACGACAATAATTTATGGAATCGTCAATCCCCAGCCGTGATAAATCCTTCATACATATACCCCAGTTCGACTCCTGGAGTTGCCGCAATTTACCATTCGCATCGATTGCCACCATCAAGTGATCACGACTAGCCATCACCTGGCAACGGGTGTCATCGATACAAAATCTCGTCGACAACCATCATGTCCGACGTACTAGCATAATGAAATTATAACTAGCTCAAAAATTATTGATCACGCTCAACAACGGTAAACTCTGGCAAAATTTGCTGTGATTACCGACCCGGGTGTCAATTTTTGAGTTGCATGTAGCTGTCACCCACGTGACCCGCACCCCACCCAAAAGTGTGAGCCGATAAGCGTTACCGTGACCGTTGTGATCTACCACCCACCATGATGGCGATTCCCAGGTTAGCATCCTTTATTGTGGCCCTTGTGGTCACACTAGGGATAACATGGACCATATTACACAGGCAGGCAAACCCTGTCTTCACAGCATTGCATGTGGCGCTGGAAGCCTCCCCTCAACCCGTTGACAGCGCCACCACCAGCCCCACCAGTCTCTCGTTTCAGATACGACACGTGTTGCACGCTCCCGCCAACCCCAAACTGAAAGTGAAACGGCTTGATATCACTGAGCAATATAAACAACAACACGCCGAAGCCTTCTTCACGGAACAGACCGAGCTTTTAGCCCAACAACGAGTATTTGGAGTGGATGCCGATATCAGCCTTGAGCAAGCGTACCATGAATACGACTGGCCTCAGGCCTACGCTGAGCATAATCCGATGACGATGACAATTCCTATGAAGCGACAGGAGCTGCCCAATCGCGCCCGTCAGCTTCAACGACGCCACGAGCCGGGGTTTATCGACCTGTACTTAGCCTACGCCCGAACCAACCCTAAACGAGCGCGTCAAATCGAACTAGAATGGGTGGAAAATGATGTGGTGGTGCCGGACATCACCGACAGAGATACGGTGATCGGCATGGCCCTCATCGCTCTGAATGCTTACGTCAGATTTCCTAAACCGGACGATAAAAAGCTGGACTGGCGTGATGTCCCGGGGTGGGAACCAGATAAAGACCACCCAGATTTAGAGTTCGGCTGGGATGATGTTGGTATTCGCGGTCACGTTTTCGTGCTGGACGATAACTCGACGGTGGTGATTGGCATTAAGGGGACGCTGGGAGCGGGACTTCCTGGCGGTGGCTCTGACGAAACTGGACCTAACGATAAGACCAACGATAACTTGTTGTTCAGCTGCTGCTGCGCTCGGGTGCTGTACATGTGGACCACCGTGTGTGATTGCTACGACTCTACTTATACGTGCAGCCAGGACTGTCTTGAAAAGGAGCTCCAACGGGAAGACCGCTACTACCGTGCGGTGCTTGATCTCTACAAAAACGTCACCGAGATGTACCCACCCGACCAGTATAACTACTGGCTCACTGGCCATCTGCTTGGCGGAGCATTGGCACTGTTAGTGGGACGCACTTACGGTATTCCTGTGGTCGCCTACGAAGCTCCCGGAGAGATGTTACCAGCTCAGAGACTTCATTTACCGCTGGCACCAGGATTACCGGAACTGTTAGAGAACATTTGGCACATCGGCAACACCGCTGACCCGATCTACATGGGGGTGTGCAATGGAGCACTGTCGCTGTGCAACTTAGCGGGCTACGCCATGGAGACCGCGTGCCACACAGGCAAACAGTGCGTGTATGACGTTGTCAATGACTTAGGGTGGCGAGTGAACATGCTCAACCACCGCATCCACACCGTCATCGACGAGATCTTGACGGTATACAATGATACAGCGCCGTGCTATCAGCAGCCACCGTGCCGGGACTGCTTCAACTGGAAGTTTATACTGGATGACGATGATGACGATGACGAGCCGTGGTTGCCCAATCCATTAAGACCGAAAAAGCCTCGTCCCACACACACCCAAACGCACACTCGCCCCTTAGCCTCAACTTCAACCTCAAGCACAGAAACCCTGCTGCTGCTGACTGCCAAGCCGCCACAAAAATGTCTCGAGCGAAATTGGTACGGCTGGTGTCTCCGCTGGGGGGACGACGATGAGAAAAGTAACGTCGAAGCGGTGATGACGGCAACTTAAGATTGATGGCAACCGCCCTTTACCCCGCTAGTGATGACCGCCGATTTGTAAACACGTTTGGTGACATGAGCCACGCAATCAGCAACCATTGGCACGATTAGCATGGATAGGTCACCCCCCCCCTATCGCAGGGCGTGAGGGGACACAAATCGGCGATGCCGAAATGACAGGGCATACGGCTCGAGTCTGCGCCAGAGCAAAAATAGAACGAGGCTAATGTCCGGGAAAAACCTCACCAATACACAACAACAATACGAACTGCCTCTCTCTAAAAAAATATAAAAGACAAATAAAAAAAAAACCCGAGGGTGGCGCTTACCTAAGCGACTCGACCCACTCTATCTAGCAGTTTACGAATGAAGAAGTAGACGGATTTCACACGCTGTTTGTTGTTATGGTAAAAAGCATAGGGGGAGAGGGGATCTGGGTGACGTAGGGGGCATGGCACGGCGGGTGGCGTGACGTCGTTTTCGAGGCGGTAAACGGTGGGCTGCCGTTGCGTTGCCTTTTCGCGGCAGGCCGTACATGGTTGACGAGGCTGAGCGGGACAATCCTCAAAACAAACCATGCACCATCGCTCCCTAACCGTGGCGGCTAGCTTGCGCTTCTGTGCATGGCGAGCTCGATGAGGTCTGAGGAGGTTAAAGCCCTTCCCAACGTGGGCGTAGACCACCACGACGACTTTTACAAATTACTATGAAGAAATTGGCATGTATGACCAACTAGGGTAGCGGGTAGAGCTTGGCAATCACCCAATTTTCGTGCGCTAATCCTGGGCCCATGCCCGCGATTGTTCTGCCCATCCTGGAAGCAGAACAACGCACAATGACACAATGTCGTGGGGGTGGGGGTAGTGTGGGTCGACAAAGGAGAGCCATTGCTCAAACCGTCAAGCGTACGAGATGGCCCGAGACAAGGACCAATTGGCCCTGCCCCCACGGGGCTGAGGCCTGGCAACGTTGTCTCAGGGTGTTTGTGGCCTACGCTTGTGTCTGGGGCAAGGCAGTGAATTGTGTCACAAAAATCACAAAGGGGGTTTTCTTTACTTCCGAGAAACAAAATGGGGGCATCGGGCTGGCGGTGGCAGGCGCAACCCAAGCAACACTGACGATGGAGAGTGCGCAGTGAGCAACTGAAATTTATAGCAATCGAGGTCAGGAAAAACTGACTGTGTGCAGGACACACCACCTGGCGACCCCCTCAGCCCCTCCGACTTTTGGCGGTGACAACGACCTTGGTCAAAGCGATTTGGCTCGCTAGTCGGGGGAGCTCGGCGACGACGGTAGGCTCGTTAAACAGCGCGGGGCTGGGGGGTGGTGTGGTCACGCTGTGCCTGCAACCCGCTGCTGCTAGCGCTCGCCGTTCCTCCTTCCGCATCGGGAGCAATTGTAAACACTCCTGGTTACAGTAGGCGGGTTGCCGAAGTGGGCGAGGGGCCTGTGTACACATAAAAAAACAACCACTTTCCCAGGGCGCCCAAATTTTTTGACGTTTGACCGCCACACGCTACACAAAAGATGAAGTGGTTTCACACCCTTGGTAACCTCCTCTTCCTTGCGGGGACGATCGTGATGATGATCTTTGTCATTTTGGGGGGTTCGCTGAGCCACACCCCCATCCGCCAGTTCTGGTGGCTCGAGGCCGACACCCAGGGCATTGGCAACTCCCGCTGGGACCGCACTGCGTGGTCGTTCTGGGGCAAGTGCAACGCTAACGACTTCAACGACTGTGACTTGGGCCCCGCCTACCCCATCTCCCCTCAGGACAACTTCCGCACCACCGATGTCCCCGGCAACTTCCACCTGAGCCGCGGCGCCTACTTCTACCTCACCAAGTTTGCTTTCGCCTTCTGCCTCATTGCCTTCTGCTTTGTCTGCTTCACTTTCCTCACCCACCTCGCCCAGTTCTGCTTCACTCGTGGTGACAAGTACAACACCTTCTTGTTGGCGTTTGCCCTTTTCTTCGCCGCCGGGTGGGTGTCGTTCCAGACGGCGGTGGTGGTGATGGCTCGCGATGCGTTCAAGGGCCACAACGCTAAGGTTGCCGTCAAGACGATGGCGTTGATGTGGACGTCGTTCTTCCTCATCTTGGTGCTTTTCTTCTCCTCGGTGTGGGCCACGGTGTCGGCGTCGTGGAAGTCCCACATGGACACCGTCCGCGGCGGTGACAACCTGTACTACCAGCCCCACCAGCTGAGCGCCGTCCACAACGACCAGCTGAGCTTCACCAGAGCCAACGCCCCGGAAATCAAGGACGACAACCTGGGCGGGATCCGTTTCTTCAAGATTAAGCGCAACGCTAAGGCCGAGGCCGACGACGAGCTGGTTTAGATGAGCTGACGTGACAAACCTTCGCAGCTCCGTCAGCATTAATGCAATAATAGTTAATTAAATTCTAATATAATACCTGACGAGAATTTTGTCTAGTGTATGCTACAGCTAATAAAACGATAATGACGACTCAATATGAATCTGACGATGGATCTTTCATTTGTTGATGAATCATACCCTGGCACGGCTGACCCCAGATAATTATAGCAACCCGTTGAACACCACAACAAATTGCCATAGGAAATTGGGTACAATACCTGCCACCTTTCGCCCTACCGCACATTTCGGATTTTAGTGAGTACACCGGTAATTATAGTATGGTTGGGTTAGTTTCTTCATAGAGTGTTACCCCTCAATTGTTCTCTCTCTTCTGCCTAGCTTAATAAGCGCTTTGTATAATTTTACTAATCGCCCCGTAGTCTAAATTAGCCTCGCACTGGTCAATGGGAGAAAAACGGCTCATTATTTCTTGGTCAGGCGAGAGGGGTTGTTGTTGGCGGTACCCGTTTTTCGCACCCCCCCACGTTGCGAGTTCGCTAGACTCCATTATCAGCAGCCAGTGCGAACGGCAGTAGTCGCTAGCTATTTCATATCAGCCGCGGGCCGAGATCCGACAATAGGAAGCAGCCAGATGACGCCATCCGACGATAAAATACAAGACAAACCAGTGGTTTCCAGTGTCGGGTGTGACCCCACTTTTCTCTGACTCTGCCTCGCCCCACTAGGTTTCTGTCTGATTGCTAATGGGGCCTAGGCCAGGGCTGTTCCACGCAGGTTCTTTTCTAATTTCCCCCCTCTCTCCCTAACTAATATTTGCGGTAGTAACTCTCCGAGCAAACTTCCACGCCGAAATCTACCCAACCTTCGGCTGCCTGCACAATGACGGCAACCATTCTGAGCCCACTAAGACCAAATGCGAGGACAGACCATGACTATTCGAACCGCCCTAACCGGCCCGATATACACGGTAAATAAACCACGAAATAATAGAATCTAGCCCCAATTTAACCCCAAACCATTAAATGACTCATTTCCCTCAATTATTAATCCCTTACTGTCCGTTAATAGTGTCTGGTCCCGGGTCGGATATATCGTGGCATCTCACATTTTTTTCGCCCTGCACAAACCCGGCACGAGGGGTCCGACAAGTGCGACACCCATTCATTAGCGCTCCGCAACCCTCCACCAGTGCCGCTGCCGCCGCCACCCAGCGCTACACCTGTTTTTTACCAGAAGAATCGGCTGAGCCCCGGGGCGCTTGTTTCACGTTTGATTTGTTGAAGCTGCCTACCTAGTATTGCTTGAATCACCCCGCCGCCACCCACGCCAAATCCCATACCGATGACGGAAACCGAAAAGAAGCGCGGGCGGTTGTCGCGGTTCCTCCACAAGGACAAGGGCAAGCCGGCGTCGTCTCTGCTGCTGGCGGCTCTGACGTCGGAGGTGGCGCCGCTGCGCACGCCGCTGGGCCTCCGCCGGGCGCTGTCCGAGGTCGTCCTCGGCGCCCAGCTGCGCCAGTCGCCCGACTCGGCGCTGCTGCTGGCGCCCCACCACCACCACCACCACTTGTTTGGCCACCACCACAACAACACTCCGCCGCCAAGAGAGATGAAACAGTTGCTGAAGCTGGAGACCCTCGCCAAAATGGAACAGATTCGCGAGCGCAACGCTAAATTGGCGCTGATCCGCCAGAAGAACCCGCCGCTGATGCTGAACCATTCGCCGGCGCACGATAAGATCGTGTATAACCCGATGGGTCTCTCGCTGACCCACTCCATCGGCAATCGGTCGCTGTTTTACCAGCTGGGCGCCCCCGACGAAGAGCGAGTATTATCGCACCCGGTTGCCGACCCCAACGACCATTTGCCCGACGAATATAAACAGCCCCACCTGAACTTATTCGACGAGTGGGAGATCGACATGCTGCGCATCAAGTTGGGCGACGGCGGCTCGCTGGACGTGCGCATCATCAACGCCATTGGCCACAAAAAGCGGTATTATGCGCTTAAGAAGTTCACGTTATTGAAAAAGGAGACGGATGAAGAGTTCTATAAGCGCGCTAAGAAGGAATACATCATCGCCAAACAGGCGCTGGAGCTGCGCCACTGCATCGACACCATCGCCCTCGTGCGCATCCACCAGATGCACTCGTTAACTCGAGGTTGGGGGATGGTGCTTGAGTACTGTCTGGGCGGCGACTTGTTCAATTTGATTACCCGCCGCGCCTATAAGTACCAGCCGTTACAGGAGAAATACTGCTTGTTTAAGCAAATCGCCTATGGCGTCAAGTGGCTCCATGAAAACGATATTATCCACCGCGATTTGAAGCCGGAAAACGTGTTGCTTGACGCTAACGGCGTGTGTAAGCTCTGTGACTTTGGGGTGCTGACATACGGCCACCACCCTCCACGAGCGTTTGATACCCCCGTGGTTTTGCTGACGCTGTACGTGGGGCTGCCGCCTTATACTCCACCGGAAGTGATGCTTTTAGCCGATAAAAAGGATCACGAAGCGAAACAGTTTGCCTACGACCCCTTCGCCATGGACATGTGGGGTTTGGGGATGTTGCTCTTCTGTATCATCTATGGGGGTGTCCCCTTTGAGCTGGCGGTGAACCTGAATTCTCAGTACCGCGACTATAAGCTTAGCTTTGACCGCTTCGCTCAATCGCACCCCAACTTCAAATTCAATAAGGGGTACCCTAAAGGGCCCGGGGTCGAGTTTCGGTGGGCGCTGCATTTCCAGTCCCAGGGAGCGCTGAGAGTGGCATGGAAGTTGTGTGATCCTACTACGCAATACCGCTACACCATGGACCATTTGTTTAATGATCCGTGGATGCAGCTGTTGGAGATGTGTCTCTACGAGGACCCCGACCAGTTGGTGCTGCCATTTGTGCTTCCGGGCACTGGAAATGACGTGCCCATATCGCTGCTGGCGCTGGCGGCGCTGCTGCGCAACCCGCTGCGCCGGGCCACCACGAACAACGGGCGGGTGACGCTGCACGGGTCTGTTGCCAGTCACCAGGAGCCGGTGCGGAGCATGCTTGATCCAGCCCCGGCACCGCCGGCCTCTGCCGCTAACGTCAATAGCGGCACTGACGCCGAGCAGCTGCCAGCGGCGCCAGCGGCGCCGATGCTGCCACTGCTGTCGCTGCTGCTGATCCACTCCCAGCTGCTGCTCACTTATGGCGACGCCCACCCGCCAGTGGCACCGATAGCGGAAGCGCCGTCGTCGATGCTCCACGGGCTTCTGACGATTACTCTGGGCGATACCGAAGACGAGTACCCGGCGCCAATGCCGCAGTCGCCGTCGCCGCCGCCGCAGACGCTCGACCCCGTGCGTGAAGATGGTCGCGACGACAATGCCGGAAGCGACCACCCGACAACGGTGCCGACACCAGTGCCGACGCCGGCACCGACGGTAGCGCTGATGGTGGCTGCTGGCACCCATGGCGACGCCTGCGTCCACCCTGATTTCGCCCAGCTGAAACGGATCCCGCTGATGACGCTGATCCTGCTGTCGCTGCCACGGGTGATGCCGAGCCGCGGCTCGCAAATCAACATTCCCCGCAACAAGCTGGAGGTGGAGTTGTTGTTGATCGACTCGCTGCTGCGGACATATAAGCCCAACGAGCACGCGGCGTTGGACACGCTGGGGATGTGTGACTTGGGGTACAAGATCAAGAAGCACAACCACTTGCTCAAGTAAACACTGCATTATAGACACACACGTGAATACATGTTTTTTTATACCATTTGGTGGTAGTCTACAATTTCTTCTATCACGCGACATATCGCAATCCCATTATATATTATACACTTAAGCTTGCAAGTGGAGCTTGGCCTTGGCGTTGGTGACGACGAGGCCCATCTTCTTGGCCTTTTCGAGGATGCCGACGCGCTTGCGGGCGGAGACGGCGGCGGCGATGGTGACGGCGAACTCCTTGGTCATCAACAACGAGTCCAAGTCCTTTTCGTTCTTGGCGAGGAAGGTCTTGAGGCCGTTGGGCGAGAAGTACTTGGTCTTCTTGTTGGAACCGAAACCAATGTTGGGTTGGGGACCGGTGCACCCTCTGAATCTTCTTCTTTGGGCCGAGTCGATACCCTTTTGCAATCTCCAGCCCGAGCGCGAGATACGGGCGTATCTGTCGGAGTGGTGTCTCTTGAACGCCTTGGCGTGCTTCTTGACGATCTTGGGCTTGGGGACAGTGGCAGCCACTATAACGTTAGTTTGTGTTTGAAAGAGGAGGAACCTGAAACAACGATGGCGTGACGAACGACGCCATCGTCGCCTTAGGTTCGGAGGGGGGACTCTCCAACGTCTGTTTGGAACGACGGCGTCACGATGAAAACATCGTTGCCATCGTTGCCTGGGGGTTGGGGTCGGCGTCGACACTTACTTTTGCAGATGGAGGAAAAGATTTTCAATGGGAGGCTTTTTTTGTTCACCGGCGCGGGTGCGGCGGTGAGGGTGAGGTCGGGGCGCGAACCCTAAGGCACGTGACGCGATGAGGTAACCAACATCGAAGACAGGTACACTCCACCCTCATGGGCCCCCAATATTTGCCTAACAGGGGTATGATGACACTGGTAACATCATATTAGATAGATATTATCGTAGTTGGTGAGGTTAATAACATGTCACACTTCTATCTCCAATAGTGCTTAGTGCGCACGATGGCGACACCCATAGGCAGTAGCAAATGGGGTAGTTTAATTACAATGTAGCGGGGTTTAATTAGGCGCCCAAAGCGTCATCCATCGTTCTAAATTTATCACTACTCTCGAAGTATTCACTCAACTTGTTTTTCGCTATAATTGGTGGAAATAGCATTATTCTCACTCTTCTACAACGCAAACACACAAGTCTCAAATTACAGCGAAAAACCACCTGACTAAACTCACACTAAGTAAACACCATCGAATATTACCATTCGCAAATAGTCTACAGTCAGTTTCCGTTGGTTTTTCTCGGCTTCCCCTGCATTCACCAGTCAGTTGTAGCCAGCAACCGGCCCGCACCGGGGCGGCCCTCCGGCGATAGCAAGCACCTACTCGGCGCCTAAGTCTAAAGGAAATGACCCTCTGAAACTCTTTGGGTTGGCAAAGGTGGTCACAATCTCTAAGGGGGTGCCATTAAACCACAGTCGGACCATCGGTGGGCGGCATTGGCCACAATAGCGAGATATCCAGCGGCCCGGGGCTACTGACACCTCCGAAGCCAGCGCCGGAGCAGCACGGTTTTAGGCTTCCACACATATGCGGATAAAGTGCCACTTTGTGGTAAGTGGGGGACCACGACAACAAACTACTGGATAGTCTTTATAGCCACTGTTCCAACCTGAAACACAGGACCTCAACCCTCACACTCAATCTCTTAAATTTCCAGCCCCAATCATCGGTATCTCTCGGGAAGCTGGTCTCGCCCTTTTCGGCCAGCGGGCGCGAACCCTAGGTGCGTCGGCATCTGCGGGGGTCCGGCACATGCGAAGGGGCACCCGAGCCGTGTTTCAATTGCTTTGACCTTCAGGCGCCACCAAAACCCATCCCATTACTCCCATTACTGGCTCGCCTGTTCCGTTGATGCTCTCCCTCCCCGCGCTGCTCGACTTCCAGACGGTGCTGCTGACGGTGGGCTACTACGCCCTCTGGGCCGCCGCCCTCTGGTACGGGGGCTGGCTCGTCATCTGGTTATTGACGGGGTTCCACATCAGCCGGGTCTACTACCGTGGCGGCGTCGTCATCCTCAGGCTCACTGTGAAAGCGGGGCCGGCCAAGATTAAGGTGGGGCTGCTCCGATTGCGCCTTTTCGGCCCCGCTAAGCTGGTGGTGATCGACGACGTCGACGTTGTTATTGACGAATCTAAGCGGAGGAAGCGGCGCAAACTGAAGCTGAAGGCCAGCTGCACTCTCGAAGATATCGTCCCTGACGAGTTGAAGAACTCGGTGTTCCCCAAACACAAATGGGGGCGCAAAGCAGTGGAAACGTTGCTTAACCATGTGCCTACGCTCGACGTCCAAGTGAGACTGCTGACGATCACGCTACGCCACACAAACGTCATCCATCGCATTGTCGTCCGCTACTGGCGAGCGCTGGTGCTGCTGCGCCCGCTGAAGCGGTGTGCTGACTCCCGCAAGTACACGGTGGAAACGCTGTTGCTGGGGCTTGAATACACCACTGATACACGTACGCCGATCTCTGTGCTGCTGGTGAAAGTTAGAGTGAGCACGTTGATCAACCGCAAGCTGGGGGCGATGCTGGCGGCGCAGGTGGTGATGCAGACCGACGAGCTTAAGTTCTCGGTGTTTGCGTTGATCAAGCTCGTGGTGCTCAGGGAAAGATTGTCGAAGATGAAAAAGCTTAAGAAGCTTAAACGCGGTGAATTGCGATTGACCCCATTGGGGATGCTGCTGGCGCTGCTGGCAAAGCTGACACTGGACTCTTTGGACGACCACGAAAAGCACTGGCACAAATTGGCCATTGCGGCTCGTGTGTTGGACTTGGTGTCGGAAGTTGTGTCTGAGGTGACGTTGACCTGTCAAAATACGAGAATTACCGATATCCCGTACTTGACGATGGACCACAACTACAGCTACGAACAGTACTTCGCCAAGGACGTGGCGCTGCTGTACCTCCACGTGTGTGCCCAGACTATCTCCATCTCCCTCAATCGTATTTTGGATAATGATGCTGGTTTTGAGATCTTATTCTCTGCCCACCACGACCGGCCTCTCCACGTATCGGTGGTGCTTCAGCTTATCACTGTGGACTATATTACCAGAGAAGGCGAGCGTCTCGCCAAGCACGGCGGCGAGATCATCAACGTGCCCAACTTGCTGATGCTGGCAAAGACACTGATCCTCCAGACGATTTCGAGACTTGTGCTTGCTAGAGCCTCCCACTTGGACCAGCACGCCCTGGAAGCGCTTACCGACGCCTTTGCCGACTCGGAAGTGTGCTCCCAGGGTTTGTCGCTGGGGGTGCTTGAGTGTTTCCTTAACCTCACCAACCCCATGGTCGACGTTACCCTGAAACAGATTGCCGAACTCATCTATAATCTTACTATTGCCTCTAAGCTTTCAGTGGTGAACAAGTTGTTGCAAATGGCCGACTATAATGGCGATAGCGAAGTGGGAGAACTGGACGATAACGTCGCTGCTGCTGCTAAACAGCTGCTTATCAGGGCATTACACGCTAACTTGCCTCGTCTCGATATTCGGGCGGTGATAGAAAAGCCTCGTTTCCTCATGAGACTGACTGCTTTAATCAACTTCTCGTTTGAATTGTTCGACTTGGACATACAAAGAGTGCCCGGTATCGGCAACGACTACGCCAAATTGATGGTGCTTGCCCCATTAATGACGATCTACAAGGACCGCAAGCCGCGCTACGAGTTGTTCCATGCTAACCGGATTGCCATGCACGCCGAGCTCCAGGGGATTAGACTCGAGCCGGTGGTGGAGCTCGATAAGGTCAGAGTCAACTTGAGCGAGCTTGAGTCTCTTAAAGTGGTGCACGCGTTGTTTGAAGTGGTATCTGATGACGTTCAACACCACTTGGCCAACGGCAACATGAATAAGGAAATGAACTCGATCCTCGATGAGAAATTGAGTCGTGAATTGGCCTGTGTTACTAAAGAGGAAGTGGAGGCGGCGACGGTGGACTCATTGGCAAAAGTGTTCGACTATATGCCTCTGTGGCTCATTGGCGCCAAATTCTCAGTAAACTCCTTATCTGTGGAGCTCGGGCTGCGCAGTGTGCTTATTCCCAAGCTGAAGATCGGGCTGACCGACGACGCCTCTTTGCGAAGCGATTGGTGTGGCGACGATAAGAAGTTGCGCAGTGCCAAATTGACGCTTGAGAACTTTGAAGTGGTGCTTATCAATGGGTTCCTGAGACCCGGAGTGAAACCTCAGCTCCACCACCCGAAGTTAGGGCCTCAAGCGGACCTGAACGTCACCATCTTCTGGAGAATTGAAGCTCGTCTAAAAAAGCTCGAAGTGGGCGCCCTGACCCTGCTTCCTCTGGAAGGCGGCGACCCGCTGCACCACCCGTTCCTCCACATCGCCGGGCTCGAATTAGTGACAGCACTGACACTGCTGGGCAAGGAGAACTTGATATGGCTTGATTCAGCTCTTGGCAATATCGACATCCACTTTGACCGCTACATCCTCTTCACGTTGATCGGAGTGGTGCACGTGTTTTTTGCTTTTGTGTTTAACCCGTTGAGACAAATGCAGAAGAAGTTGAAGCGAGACTTGATTGAGTTCGATAACAATGCCCTTGAAATCGGGCGTCGTGAGGCCGCCAGGGCTAAGATCAACCCGTTGGACATCTTGAAGGTGAGAGTGACGCTTGACATGCTCGATTTCATCCTCAGTATCGATCATGGAGTTGAGCTCCGTACCCAAATGGCTCAGCTTAAGCTGTTGATCTACCACGGAGACGTGTCGGTAGTTGTCGCCGGTACCAGAGTTCTTACTCTCAGTCCTACTGTTCCCAAGCACTGGGCCCGACTCCTCTATATCGACCAGCTTGCGGTGGAATTGCCCATTGGTCCCTTACCCCCGATTAAGGCTAACTGTCGCCAGCTCCGCATGCTCCACCCGCACCAGTTTGTCCCCTACAAAGTGTTTGACGCCTTGCTGATCTTCTTCAAGATTATTAAGCACTATGCGAGAGCAATCAAGAACCACGACGACGAGAGCGAGGATTTGTTGCCTCGTGAAGTGTTCCCCAGAGCACTGCCGGCAATTAAGCTTCCTCCCATCGAGTTGACTACCCCTAGTTTCCTGCTTGTGATGGAAGACGACCCCTTCGAACAGGAGTTGGGGATGTGCTACCAATTGGGGCTTACCGAACAACGGAAACGGCTTGAACTCATGCTGTTATTCGAGGTGAAACAGGCCCAGGGCGAAACTGTACTGGAACAGGAATTGTATGCCCTTCAGCTCCAGATTTCGAGACTGTGGGTGCGTAAAGTGGAGGCGTACAAGCGCAAATTGACCGACGAAACGGTGGCTAACCAGAAGTACTTGTACGGCAACGAAGGCCAGGTGTTCTCCAACCACAGCATCACCCCTTACTCGATCCACGCCCCGCTCATGAAGATCCAGATGGACGGCGTGATGGCGCTGGTGGACGCTCCACTGTTTGGTATCGAAAACACCAACCAGTTTATCCACGACAGAGGCCAAGGCCAACCGGTGGACATGCAGTACACGACGTTGGTGCCGATGTTTGCCACGTTGCTCGTACAACAGGCCAGAGTGCACTTGAGGGACTACCCCTTGGCATTATTGCTGATTCCTCCTACTGCTGACGGCCTGCCTGCATTCACTGTACGGGGTAATTTAGTCGTTGGTGAACAATTTGAAAACACCCCAATTGTCTTCCGTCGTATCTACTGTTCGTTTATTGCTGGCCACGCCGACGAAAGCCTCTGTGGCAGTCGCCGCAACTACTTTGGGCTTGTGGTGAACAAAACGTTAACCCCCGTGAAGTTGTTCTCCGACTTGGGTATCCATATCACCTCGGCTGCTCCTGCTCGCTTCATTTGGGGTACAAGTTACAACTTTGCTCTTCAGCAAATGGGGCAAAACTTTGACCAGTTCTCCAAGCCACCTTTGGACCCTTCGCCTAAGATTGGTTCCTGGGATAAGATGAAGCTCATGGTGCACGGGCTGTTCAACGTTAAGGTCGACAAGGCGTTTGAAGTTGCGTTTAAGGGGCTGAGAGACCCGTACAACGTGTTCCAGACGGCAGCAGGGTTCATGTTGCTGTTTGAGGACCACATGGACTGGGACGTCAATCCCGATGACGATCTGCGGCTGTTCCTCTCCGTCAAGGCCGGGAAGGTGCTGTGGTACATCCCCAACTACTTGCTGCTGCCATTGCTGCTGTGGGTGCTGCAGTACGTGGTGTGGCTCCCGCAGTCTACGGAAGTGGTGACGCTGGGCTATGCTTACTACTTGATTAAGGAGGCCCAAGTGAAGAATATCAAGACGATCCCTCCCATCACCGCTATGCAACGGAAAGTGGTGCAATTGAGTGGGGGTATCGATTTCACCCTTGGGTTCCTCTTAGAGCGTCGTGACGCTGAAGGGAACATCTCCACCAAGTGCATCAACCACTGGGAAGTTCAGCTCCACCACCCGGACTACGCTAAAGAAGGTCACGACTCCTACGCCGGGTGGAGACTGGACTACGTGCTGATGAAGATCGCGTTTAACGCCAACCAAGACACCCTGTACAACACCATCCACATGCTGCCGGGGACAATGAGAGCGATCATGGCGTGGTGGCACTTGTTTGCTCTGAACATGATGTTACCCATCAAGAAATCACACATGTTTGGCGAAAACCAGCTGCCATCACCCAAATTCTCGCAGTACCTTGTTGCTAACATCTTCGAGTTCCACGTGCGGCTGTTGTGGGCGGCCCACATCTTCAGAGACGATGCCATCAATGTTGACAACTACGACGAGATTGAGTGTGTTGGGTTAAGAGGTATGATTGACGAGTTTGTCGTTGATTTCCACCAGAAGCGGACGCCTCAACTTATCCGCCACGCCACTTTAGATGAGGAAAAGAAGGTGTACAAGATGCAGTTCAACATTGGTGAAATCCACTTGAACGAGATTGATTTGCGGACGATGAGAGCTAAGTTTAAGCAGGACGCCTACCTGACTTACGATGCCCTTCAAGGCGGTGCCAACGCCAATTCTGAGGGTAAGGTGAAGTTCAAGACGTTTGACGACGACCAGCGGTGGTTCGACGTCAACGACTACGAAGAGACAGATACCACAACGTTGAGTAACACTCCCGTGACCGCTGAAGCGCTGCCGATTCTCTATACCCGCAAGTTCCTGTATGTCCGTGACACTGGCGATTCTGGTGATGATGAGCTTGACCGCATGCTTGGTGACGACGCCATCCACCGTTGTTTGATCCGCTCTCAAAACATTTGGAGTCCCCAGATTGCTCAGGTGAAGCAGCGTTTGACTACGTTACGCAACAGTAAAGAGGATACTCTGGCCCAAGTTGCTGAACTTGAAGCTGAACTTGCTCAATTGGAGCAAAAGAAGACCGCTACCGGCGAGCGGCTTTCCCAGAGACTGAAGAGCGGCCACATCCACGTGACTCCCGTCGCCCGCTACAACAACCAGTTCATCCTCGTCCAGCTGTTCTTTAAGTACAACGAGCAGGTGCGCAACGACTTGCTCCGCTACGTCCAATACGTGCTGTTTTACAGCAAGCTCCTGAAGTACGTTGACTGGCTGCTGATTCGGAAGATTGATGACATGATTGATGCCGAAATCAAGCTCCAGAATGACGCGGCGACGGTGGTACTGGGGGCGCACGGAGGCAGCCTGCCGATCAAGAAGTTCACTCACAAGTTCACTCGGGCCCACCTGTACTCGCTGACTGCTGCTGACATGCCGTCAGTGCACGAGGAGCCCACTGCTCAAGTGCGCTTGGACCACTTCGGCGAGATTCTCCGCGATATTGGTAGCCAGTTTACTCTTTCTGAGGACTACTACATCGAGGTGATCAACCCGCAGTTCCAGTTGGCGCTGGAGGTGACTAAGGACGCTGCCGTGCTCGTGGCTTCACCGCAGATCATGTGTCAGATTGCTCTGGTGTACGACGCTAAGGATAAGCTGGCCAACAAGCCGAATTTGGAGACGCGCTACGGGGTGAAGATGGCCGATGCTCTGATCTTTGTTGTTACTAAACTGGCGTCAAAGCATGTTAGTAAAGGCCTTTTGGCCGCTCAAAACAGTTACGGCACCAAGACGCTGTGGCCGCCGTGGTTGGGCTACGAGGTGTTCAAGGACCCCGACGTCGGCTTGGAGCAGTTGTTGGTGAAGAACTTGGACGTCATGTTCACTTTTGAGAAGCTTGGAGATATGCTGACGTATAATGAAGATGAAGTTGGTGGCTGTGACCGTATGAACTTGGATATTCCCCAGCTTGTGATCACGCTGACGCTGGACCAGTACTTCAAGCTTTTACTGATCTGTCTCCTGTTGTTCTCGTATCTGGACCCTTTGGCCGTTGCGACTAAGGCCAAGCTTGAGAAGATTGAACTCTCGTCCTTGTTTTTGGACCTTGAAGTATTGCGGACGCGGATGGTCGAGCTTGACCGCCACCACGCCGTCCTCCAGTTCTTGGAACGCAACTACTACTTCCGCCAAGGTTCGCTCGACAACTCCCAGTTGAACGACTACATTTTCCTCCGCAAGCAACTGGCAGAGATGCTCCACGCCATCTTTTTTACGATGCAGCTGATTCTCAACGGCGGTCACAGTGCTGCCGCCCTGCACACGAAGACTATCCAAAAATGGCATTTCCAGGCGGACGAGATCATCTTGCACTTGCTTGAAAACGACCGGAGACCGTTGGTAGACGTGGCGTTCGCCAAGAACCGGTTTACCCGCAGCATCTACGAGAACGGGCTGAACGAAAATCGCATCGATATTGCCATGATGCAAACATTCAACTTGTTGCCGAAATCGAAGTGTCCCATGGTGTTGTCGCCGTACACGCTGGCTAAAGCTGGTAGCCTCGACGGCACTACGATGATCCTGGCGGAGTGGAAGATGCACCGCCTGGTGGGTGGTATCAGGGTGATTGAACAGCTTTTGATCAACTTGCAGCCGTTGCTGATTATGTTGGACGAGCTCACGTTGGAGCGGATGTTGCACTTTGCCCTTCAGACCGACTTGGACCAGATTAAGAGTCTGCCAGTGCTTCAAAAAGCAGCTCAAAAGGAAGAAGCCAGACGGGCTAGACAGAAGGCGGAGTCACCAGCGAAGACCCCGCTGCCACTGCTGAGTCAGCAGCTGCTGAAGTACACCCGCTCGGGCCCGCTCTCGGTGCTTGACGACGAGCCTGCCCCGGATATTGAGGAAATGATGCTTCGGTCTAAGGCCTACTTCTCAGTGGAGAAATTGCGCGTCAGTCCACTTACTGTGCTGGTGCTGATTAAGCTCCGTCACGGGGTGATGAGATTGCTTAACGTGCTGAACTTTGTCGTCCGTATCCCTGAATTCATCGTGCGCCAAGAAGTGATGTCGGTGATGGAGATCGGCAACCGCATCAAGCGCGAGGTCATCCGTGCCTTATTAGGCCACTTGGGGTCATTATTGAGAAATAAGGTCACTCCTAGCAACATCAAGAGCAAGAACAAGGCGCCACTCCAGCAGATCCAAAAGTACACTGGCTATATTGATGTGGACGAATTGAGATCGCCACCAGCACTGCCAGTGCAGCTGCACAAGAAACAAAACGGTAGCCTTTTCAAGAAACGCACCGGTCCTGTTGTTGCCGACAATTCTTCGAGTCTGGCTGAGGACCGCGTGATTGTGACCCCGGACACGTCCCCTGAGACGTACCCCCCACCGGCCCCGGATGCTGGCATCGATCATCAACCTCCCCCGGCTAAGGTTCAAGGCAAACCCCGCTTAGCTACTACTGTCGACGGCAGCCCTCACGTGGACCCAACGGCCACAATGGAAGGCTCTACTTTAGCCCCGGTCGGCAAGACCACCGCTAACGGCGCTGCTAACGGCGCTGCTAACGGCCTAGCGCCTGAACGACCCGCTTTGGGCGGCGTGTCGCCTGATATCGGCGTGATGCCTAGCTCTAATACTGAGCCGACATCCCTGGACATCGACGCCGCCAACGGCATCCCAGAACCTGACGTATAAACGATTTGTACCATAGTCTTTTTCTTATATTCTAATGCGATAGACACTTAATGAAGACCTACACGTAGTGCTGAGAAAGCATGTATTTGTAACAGGAAGCATATATAATCTAAAATCAAAATAATAACACAACATATGTACCGAATATTCAACCAAAAAGTTAGTGTAATAGGACACGGAGCGATCCTCTAGTCGGGGACCGTGGTTCGAAGTGTATGCTGGGACATACCCACATCACACGCGATGTGTCGGTGCCACATATGATTGAGTAAAGTAAGTAGTCCTCAATGTGTCGTCATCGATTCAGAACGTACAGCTGATGGTCCTGGTCTCAACACGTCCCCGCTAGCGCTTGTTCAGCTTAAGCGTCATAACAAAACCTTAAAGATCACTAAAGAGTAACCCGTGGTAGAGGCAGTCGATTTATAGTAAATTGAGTCTCGGGTTTCCGAACAAGACTACAGCGAGAACAATCCTAGAGAACGTCGTCGAAAATCCTCCACCACCAAAAGAAAGCTTTTTATCCATTGTGATTATCCTCCACCACCAAAAGAAAGCTTTTTATCCATTGTGATTGGCAGTTTCCATAAGTTGTCATCATCGAGCGTGGTGCGTGGATGGTGGAGGAATCATCTATGGCAAAAAGAAACCCTGGCTTGTGGTCTGGACCGCGCAATAACGGAGTTGTACAGAATGACCCCATGACACTATACCACGGCTCAAAAAAAGTCTAGTCTACTACAATTACCCACAAATACACTTAAGAAGAAATCTGGTCACTTTTACCCCTTCGTTCATGATTTTCTCTGCCTTTGGTTCCTATCTTGCCAAGGCCTTCGTCCCCCCCACTAGACGAGTGCGGCGGCGAAAAAACCTCCAGGCATGTCGAAGAAGAGAGAGGACTTGATCGTGCCCTACGTGCACCACCCGGCCAAGCCCAGAGGTGAGGCGCTGGCGGTGATTGCCCAATCGTTGCCCATGGCGGCGATGTTCATGCGCAACCGCATGTTGTCGTGGACGGCCGTGCTTTTGGCGGTGCAAGCGTGGTTGAACGAGCCCCGCCACAAGGTCGAGAGCAACGACTCCAAGCAGCAGCCGGCGATCTTGCGGGTGACTTTTGCCATCATGTCGTTGTTGATGTGCTACGCCGAGCTTGTGTTCCCGTCGATGCTGACGATGGCGCGTCAAGAGCAGATGATGAAGAAGGCGGCGGAACGGGCGGCGGAACGGGCGGCGGAGCTGGCGGCGCTGTCAGCGTCGACGGTGGCGGAAACGGTGGTGTCGTCGGTGTCGCTGGCGGTGGAAACTGCCACCCAAAAGGGGTGGTGGCCTTTGTAAACGTTGACGTTTAATACATGAAACTTGAGAGTGGTCGTAGGTCTGGCTGAAAGTGAACTCAATGCTACTGAATGCGTGATTAGCTTACCTCACTCAGCACGTTAATGATCATCCAGCTGGTAAGCAATTATTCATTTTGTATATGATCATCAGACGACAGCACTTGTCAAATGTTATCGAAGCATCCATACATTGACTCAAATAACTTTTAGGGTGAAATCCTATTAATTCAGAGATAGCCATAAATGATAATCAAGCAATTAACATAGTTTTAAAACTGCATGGTGGAATATTCAATCAAGCTCCAAATCTATGTGTAACTTGTAATTCGAACATGTAAGAGCGCATACTAGATCCTGGTGGATTTGATAATAGTGCAGGAGCGTTGTCTCACCCCACATCAACAAACGCTACTATTTCGTTGGCGTTAAAGATGAATGACATCATCGACGTCTACAGCCTTCCCCAGGGTTCCATCTGTAGCCGGCACAATGCCCGCACGGCTGCAGGTGGCACAATTCGCGCGAGCAGGCGAAACCCACGCCAAGCACGCTCATCTGATGCAGGCGGCACAATCCACGCAAGTGGTATATAAAGACGGTGACCGCCGTTCCTAGATCGTCATCACCACAAAACAAATAACAATAATGAGAACTGAATTGGTTAACTACGCTTGCGACTCCTCGTGCACCAACAACTGTGGCCTGAAGTGCCAGTGCACCTCTGACTGTGCCACCGGGTGCAAGTGCACCACCGGGTGTGCCAAGGCGTGTGCCTGCCAACCTTGTGGTGGCGCCGGGTGCCAATGTGGGTGCAAGTCCTGCTGCCACTAAGCCTGGTGCCTAATGGTAAGATTTGGGGGAATATGGTGGAGTTAGGTTATATACGGTAATGATACGAAAATTAATGAAATATTGTAGGATTGTCGAGGACAGCATCGACAATGACTGATATTTAGATGATCAGTGCTAGGGGATCGTCAAAGGGCTATTGCTAGCTTGAAGGTGCAACGAAATGTCGATCTGATAAAGATTCTTCGCAAATCAGACTATTACACACACAATGGCTGAGTTTACCTACTAGGCGAAGGGAACCAAAACAGGTAAAATGTCACAGCGTCAGTCTTTTTGTTCTGCTTGATCTTAGATCTAAGATGTTTGATCCATAATAATCTCAATTACTCCTGTGTCTCATCGCCCAATAAATAACAGACTCCCAAACGGTGAAAAACAATCCTTCACTGGCGGTTTACTTGAATAATTCATTTATAATTTTTTATGTTTTCCTTTCCTTGTGTGGGGTAGATAAGACGAGCCTTTGTTCGACTCATCGCACTCCATGTCTCTCCCCGACGGGCTCGACCCCCAGGCCCAGGAGAGCCAGTACGTCCACGATGTCTATAACGAAATCGCCCCGCATTTCCTGTCGACTCGGTATAAGCCGTGGCCGGTCGTGGAGAAGTTTTTAAAAGAGCAAACCCCCGGTTCAGTGGGTATCGATGTTGGCTGTGGCAACGGCAAGTACTTGGGAGTCAACCCCGAAGTGTTCATGATTGGTAGCGACCACCTGGACGGGCTTGTCACCTGTGCCCAGGGGATCAATGCCAACTACAATCTTGCCATTGCCGATGGGCTTGCGTTGCCCCACGCCGACGACCGGTTTGATTTCGCCATCTCCATCGCGGTGATCCACCACTTTTCCACTCCCGAACGGCGACAGCAGGCCATCGGCCACATCCTCAGCAAAGTGAGAAAAGGCGGTCGCTTTTTGGTGTACTGCTGGGCTCTAGAACAGGAGAAGCTGCGACGGGGCTACAAGGAGGGCGACAGCCAGGACTTGTTGGTGCCGTGGGTTTTTAGACAAAAGGACAAGCCCGACGAGACCAAGTACCGCTACTACCATCTCTATAAGAAGGGGGAGCTTGTGGCCGACTGCGAGGCTACCGGACAGTGTAAGTTGGTCGAAGAGGGCTACGACCGCGACAACTGGTGGGCGGTGGTGGAACGGGTTTAAATGTAAAGTTGATGTACATCCAGTGCAATCATCAGCGGAAAGGGTCGATGCACGGTAACGTATAAATAGAGGCATAATCGACGTACGCTAGTGGCTAACGGAGCCGTTTTGTCACCACGCTGTAGAATTGGTGGCGGTCGGTGATTGTCTGTAATTGGTGGGTGACCTCGTAAGGGAGGTCGAGTTGCAGGACGAGGAGAGCCTTCTCGACGTCTAGGCGTCCGGGGAACGGTGCCAGCTGGTTCACGGCGTGTTTAAACCGCGTAATAAACGATAACGACAGCTCTTGCGGCTCCGGGGCCATCTTACACCAGCGGTTGATGGCGTCAGCATCAGCTTTGTATAAGTCCTTATCGGCGAAGAAAAGGAATAGCACGTCGCTCCACAGCATCGAGTCGCTGCGAGTGTGGTAGTAGTCGAGGTAGGCGTCGAGGGCTTCGTCTTGTAAGTAGTTTACAAGAAGTACTCCCCACTGGTCCCAGGGGACGTGGTTAGCAATATAACTGACTTGAATCTGAGCAAGCTTCAGCGCTAGCGACGGGTCAATGGTTGAAGAGATGGACACTGTAGCTGGCGGTGGTACTGTAAACTCAAGGTTCTCCACTAATTGAGGAGGTTTCAGGATGTATAGCCAGGGACAGTATCTCTCCACCTCCAGTCTTGTATCCTCTATCTTAGCTTCAGGTTCATCGTCCATAATAAACGTCGTCAGCTCGTCTAGAGTTGCTGGTATAGTCGTCGTCACTTGAGGGAGAGTAGGTTTCGCTGGCACCACTCTATCGATAAGCTCAAATAGCCGTTGCGGCAGGTCCACTGGTTCTACCCCCACTCTCTGAGAAACCAGTCTCTCCTCATCTTCAGCCACCAATTGGTGAGCGGTACGCTCAAAGTCTTTAAGCAGGTCGTTTATGGCCACCAACTGGCGTTCCTCGATTTTGTTGGCATCCTTGGTGCGGCGAATCTCCAGGAGCACCTGTCTCAATTTGACACGTTCGGTTTCCACTTGGCGGAGCTGTTGTTTCACCTCTTTCTCGAGTTTCTCCAACAGGGCGTGGCGCTTGTTGGCGTTCTCAAAGAGGTCGATGTAGCTGTCCACAAGCATCGTCGACGAGACACAAAGTAAAGCGACGTGGGAGCTGTTCAATTAGGGTGGCGGCGAGGGCAGATGTCGCTTAGTTGCCGAAGTATAGCGGGGTGGACCCTTGCGGTATGTTGTCGCCTGGTGAGCACTGGCTCGCGCCCGGTTTGGGAAACACAACCAGGAACCCCAGGGGGAGATAGGAGAGAGGAAAACAATGGCTAAAAATAGATATCTAGACAAAATACAGGTGTATAACCAAAACAAAACCCGTCTAATTGTGATCATTTCTCAGTTAGTGCCACCACAAATGCAATAGGGGTGCCTGGAGGACCCTGGGAGAAGTCTACGTTGTGGCAGGGTTTTTTTCGGTGCAGGTGGGGACGACGCGTTCGCCGCGCGCGTCTTAGCCCCGCTCGAGGGACTCTCCCCTGGATATAATCACGTTGTTGCCCCTTAGCCAGTGTCGGGTAGTGTCGGCCATTGTCGGGTAGTGTCGGCCATTGTCGGGTAGTGTCGGTCATTGTCGGGAAATGTCGGTTATTGTTCTACAAACAAGCAGCTCCTGATATGTATTGCCAGCAATATATACTATCACACCCCTAAGTCTCTCACCTTCTGGATCTCCAGCGCCAAGCTGTCGGGCACCTCGACTTCTTCGTATTCGTGGGGTTGGGGCGGCACCTTCACCGCCGGCTTCATCGTCTCGCGTTCCAGCGGGGTCATCACGAGGTCGTCGAAGTTGATGCGCGCCGCCTTGTCTTCCGGGGTGTCTTCGGCGCCGTTGTTCCACTCGTACAACTCCTTTTCGTGTTCGCGTTCGATGGCGTACTCCACCGCTTCCAACACGTTGTTGCAGGTGTACTTGGGGGTGTATTTGGGCACGGTGCCATCCTTGTAGACCCCAGTCTTCACCAAGATTGAGTGCCACAGCGAGTCGTGGGAGTTGGCGAAACGGATGTCCGATTCCGGAGTGTCACCGACAAAGTACACCGTCGACGCCGGGGGCAATTGCAACAAGATCTTCTCTTCCTTCTCGTTCTTGGCGCTGGCAAACCGCTTCTTGTTGTCTTCGTCCTCGTCGCTGTCGTCAAAGTCGCCGTGGTACGATTGCAACTTGTCCTGGTTGATGATTTCGTGGCCTTCGCTGTTGACCAAGATGTCGGCGTCCTTAGCGTCGGGGTCGTCAATCGACAACTTCTTCAAGTGTTCGTCAAGCACCCCTTGTCTCCACTTGGCGAGCACCTTGTTGGCGTACTTGAACGTACCGGGCTGAGGCTTACCGAACCGGTTCACCTTCAATTCCTTGCCGGTGTGTTCACGGTAGAGAGCGGCAATTGACACCTGCAACGCCCCCATACCATAACGGGACAACTTGTAGTTAGTAGCCCAGATGAAGTCGGAGTGAGCAAAGTAGATTTCGGGCCCTTCGTCAAATGTCTTGGACTCGGTGCACATCACCCCGTTCTTCGAAAGCAACAATTCCAAGATGATCTGTTGGTCGGCGGCCCAGTTTCTCGAGTCGGCAAACACCAAGATCGCCTGGATGTTCACTTTAGAGAAATCGACGTCCTTTTTAACACACTTCTTTTCCTCTTCGGTCAAGTCGTGGTACGGCAGCACCGCGGGGTTCCAGTACAAAATGTCGAGGGGAGTGTAAACGTTCTTAAACCCGTACAGTTCGGCGACGTTGCGGCACACGTTGCCTACACCACCGACGACAAGCACGGTGTCGTAGACATTGACAAGGTCCTTCATCGGGGTGTGGCCCTGGATGATTTGCTCAGGGGTGATGGGGACGCCCAACCGCTTGGTCAAGTCTTCCGCCCGCACCGATTCGGGCTTACCGCCGCCGTTGGTGACGAAAATTGAGGGCACTTTGATGTTGTACTTGTTGTCGCCATACAACAATCTGAGGGCGTCCCTCCCCTCAGGGATGGTATCAGGCCCCCGGAGCAACACCCCATCAATGTCGAAGCAGAAGGCGTACGACGCGACCCGCGGGTGGTCAATGACCAGCTTCTTTTTGCGGTTGATGATCAGGGCGTTTCTCAGCAACTTGGCGAGGGAGTCGACTTTCTTCAAGTTAGTCAGCGATTGCTTGTTCAACGACGTCAGACTCAGCAACTTGGTGAGCCCCAGCTGCCATTGCAGCAAGTCCGAGAGCGACAAGTTCAGCACCTTGTGTTTGCGATCCAACGGGGTCAACTCGTCGATGCCGTCGTTGTTAAGGTACAGCTGGAAGTTCTGGGCGGCCTCGATGGGCTTTTTGCGGTCGTTGAACAGGTCGTTGGCTTGGTCGTTGGCGTCAGCCATGGTCGCGGCAAAATGAAGGAAATGTCTATGAGGGGAAAAATCTCAAATGGCTCCGGGCTCCGTTTTATATTCGGCGCTATTGGTAAACCAGTATACATATATGGTGGCGGCTCCCTGCAGGATTGCATCATCAATTTAGTGAGGGTGACTAGGGAGCCGCCGCATTCACCCGCACCACCCACGGCACCACAACTCCGAACGGCGGGGGTGGCGCTCGGAGCCAGCGACGCGACCAACTCCGAGCTGGCGAGGCATCTAGGGCCATCCTATAACGTCAATTGCTCGGGGAATTGGCGTGGTGGTGCTGCTAGCAACGGCGCTCGTCTCGGTTTGTGTCGCCGCGAACGTGGCCGAGCAATACCGTCGCTTGCTACACCCACAGCTGTACGGTGCACCGTGCAGTGCTTTGTTCGCCGAGTTCTCGAACCTTCCAGGCAGCTGTCGCCGGTTCGAGTCTCGGTGGTGGTAATTACATGAATTTTGCGCTTATAGAAATATTTGAGGGGCGCGGCGGCGACCAAGCCCCGCTCCGCTAATTACCAATTTTTTTTTTTTCCGTGGAGCGAATGCCATTGTCGCCGGTGAGCTCGTGCCGTTACGAGCAATTGCTCCAAAAGGCTTATCTCTATTGTTACCTCCCCCAGACCCTTACACAAAAACCGTAGGTGGGTGTCCCTTGTAGGCTTGGTGAGGCCGCCGTCACTGGTGACCCGGGCGCGTCGCTCACGTCCCGCCCGAAACGTCAGCTGACGTTGGCCCGAGGCGTTTGTGTCTCGCCAGCCCCCTACGAGCCTGATGATCCCCTTGGACGTCGTATCGAGCCCGTACGGCACCACTGTTCTTCCCCCAGCCAAGCCTGTCCCCGCTCGGATCGTCGCTGCTGCCAAGGGATTGTCTCTGAATTTTCTTGGCCAAATCTCGCTCTATTTGCAATAGTTTCCCTGAGGCTATGTGCAGGCGTCGTTCCCGTGTAAATTAGAGAGAAAAAAGATAGTTGTCACCTACCCTCGGCCGCGCTCGCCGACAGAGAGCGTCTTGACGTGCCGCCGACATCACCTCGGCCCGGGGATCGGCCGTGCCAATTATGCCATTTATCGCTAATGAAAGTCTGGACCCCTGGCGGTAGGCTGTGCCGGAAGCCACCGTGACGCGTAGATGTCCCCTAGGGGGGGTCAGTGGAGCTGGCCGCGGACGCCCGTCGCGATTGCCGTCGGTGCTGCTTGCGTGCGTTGTTTGCCTCGCTCCTCGCTGCCGCCAGCGCGAAGTCAGCTTTTCTTTTTGTCTGATGGTGCCTGTCAACCGCTCCTGCCGATTAGCATGTAGGCGTTTATATATACGCGGCATCACCCCCCCAAGTGACGCCAACGAGAATTTGCGTCGGGCGTGTGGCTGTGGACGAATACTATACTAGGTCGAGGAGAAACACATGATATCGCTACGTGGCTTTCTCATTCTATTGCGGATACCCGTCCGCCAGATCTTGGTCATCCTTAGGGCGTGTGTGGGGCGAAGTCCCTACCGCAAGTTCAAACTGCTGCCGGTGAACCTGGCGCGGGTGCTGGCGTATAACGGCTTCTTGCTGGTGCCAGTCAAGGACTGTACTCACGTCTGCTTCATGCTGAACCCCGTCATGTTCAACTTATTTGTCAAACCGGCAAACCACAAGTTGGTGAGCAAATGCGGTTGCTTTGGCAAGCGCTACGACGAAAACCTGATCTGGTTGCTGAGACAGCTCGACCACAAACAAGGCGACCCTTGTCTTATTTATTTACACGGCGGCGGCTACTACTTCGACGTCGGCCCCTCGCAAATCGAACTGACCTTGGCCATCTGGGACTTGGTCAACGCCGCCCTGAAAAACATGCTGGTGTTGTTTTTGGATTATAATCTCGCCTGCGACGGCTATACTGTCCCCACCCAGCTCCAGCAGCTCCACCAAACCTACATGCGGTTGTGCCAGGAGGATGGCTGGGACACCATATATCTCATGGGAGACTCCGCTGGCGGCAACTTGGCCCTTGCCTACGTCCAGTACCTCCGCAACAACCAGAGCGACCCCAAAATCGCCGAGTTGCCTTTTCCCAAAAAAGTGGTGCTCATTCTGCCGTGGGTGAAGCTCCACCCGGAACCCTACCAGTTTGTCCCCGGGAGCTCGTGGTACGACAACAACGGCCACGACATTATAGACTACGAGGTGTTTGCCGATCTCGACCGCGTTCACGAAATCATCGGCGATGAACCCTTAGATCTGCCGATGGTGTCACCGGGGAACTGCACTTACTCGACCAAAGACTGGGAAGACATCCCCTCGCTTGCCGACCTGGGCTACGACGTCATTGTCATTGTCGGCGAGGACGAGGTGTTCCGTGACGACATCCTCGAGTGGTGCAAATACGCCCTTGGCTGTCCACTATACGACGAACACCGCTACGGCGACTCTGGAGGGCATTTCGATCCTGAAAAGCACCAGTGGGTCCGCGACGGCGTCGAAGGGTGCAGCCACGTCGAGGTCTACGTCGAGCCCTACGGCCTCCATGACCATCTCAACTTCTTTGAAAATCATCTACTCCACAAATTGGGTCGGAAACAGGTTTTACCACAGGACTTGGACGGCTCCGAGTTCTTCGGCATCAAGCGGGTGGCCCAGCTCCTCAGTCGATAGCCTATCTCTGCATAATAGCATATGACTAAACGCCCCCAATTAATTCACGCATCGCCGTCATCGACCTGCCTTCGCTGCTGGCAGCGACGCGGTCTAGCCAGTTCTGCTTTAGGAATAAATAGATGCACTCAGAAAAAAAAATCTCGCAAGTCAGCCCTCCGTGACAACCGCAACCGTAATCCGTGAGGGTCAGATCATCGCCTGAAACTGGAAGCTGAGGTGAGAGGTTTTGGCACGCGGTATTGTCCCCGCAAATAGCCGTGCTAGCGACGCATCCTCGAGATGGTGCTTGTCGATCGAGGAATTCTTGGCACATCGTAAAATCGGTCGCATCGTCGCTGGTGCGTTTACACGCTACATGTTGCCATGACGTCACCGGAAGCGGCGGCGCTCCGAAAACCCCGTGCTGACGCTACCAGGTACCGGGGGGCAACAAACGGTCACCAGCCCCTTCTGGGCCGTGCCGTGTGACGACATCGGTCCGACACTGGACATAACCGGTGATAGGCCGCCCCGTATCATCATCAGCCCACCGGGTACTATTGCCGTCATTCGCAATCTAGCGAGCAATTCGCTCATTTGCCACATCAAACCCCCAAGCGCAACGGCCACCCCCGAATCAAGCTAGTAAATTTGCGTCGGGGCACCTATGACTAATTGACAACAATCGAAAAAGGCGGGTCATGTCGCCGCTTCCGCTCAGATCCGAAACGCAAAAGCGCCACAAAGCTTGTCCTGTGTAAGTAATTAAGCTAAGTTAGACGGACATGCCACGGCCACATACGGAGGCATTAACGGACACTTCGTCAGACAGCCCGGCCGCCTACTACGGTTATTCAAATGATGGCCGTCCTTTTCTCGATGCGGACATACGACCCCGACATTGATGGGGTGATTTCGGGGAATGACAGTGCTGGCGAGTGATCGCGGCGATCACGGCTACGCTTATCCCGAGCGCATATGTCAGGCGCATATGTTTTCGAACCCAATTAGGCGAGTGACAGCTGCCAGCACAATTGTTTCTGATGCGGCGGGTGCCTTCCCAGTCTTGCATCAATCGCCATTATTCGAAACGGCAACCGTATCTTGAGCCGTGACTACCGATACGGCGTGATCATGACCAAAGGGGTAAAAGTGCATAAAAAGTGGCTTAAATAATTGTAATCGCCGTCAACGCCTATATTTAGACTGGAAGTTGTCAATGAGTCCATAGGAGCTTGACTGAAATTGGGTTCGCTCGGCATAAGCCTCCCATCTATGTAGGCCCAGGCTAGCAAGTATGGTCGTTACAATATAACTGCCAATTGGTGTTTGTGATCAAATGTGGTGACATTTCACAATGGTGCCATTATTAATTCGTGATAATGAACGTGATTAACAACCCTTGATAGATAATGTGGGGCAATGGCTCGGCTTCACCCGAAGACCCATGTTGGCTGAATACCCAAAGATTGCTGATTCAATCTACTAGCGTAGTGATTTCCCTTTTCAGAAGGTTTGTTGTATGACAAGACGATCCCAATACAATACTAAAAATAAGAAGAATTTCACTTCACAAATTAATAGCTCCACAACCAACTGCTTTCGCTAACAAACTTCTCTAGACTAGTCGCAGATCAAGGTTCTGCTGTGTAAGATCTCATCCCCAAGGAAGTTTCATGAGGGATTGTAATGCAAGTAAGTGAGGTGTAATTCTTTATGGGGCCTGCTGTTTTGGCACCTAGTTGGCGTATATCAGGATTGACAACTCATACCAGTCTCGCAAATGTACGAGACAACAGACTTATGAGTTCCACTATTGTGGTATCAGCCACTGTTTCACTGAACTGCTAAATACGGGGCACACCCAAAGGCGATGGGCCTTATTTCATCACTTACACCGAAAATAATAGCAAGGCGTGGTGGCAGCGAAGAAACTGCTATACCAATGTATACTACTCAAAATGAAACGCAAGTATCAATCAACTGCATGTTGAATGAAATTCCGCTTCACATAGCATAATATGAGTATTCATTGGCTTCCATGTACGCTCAACCTGTTCTCAAGTAATTTGATCCTATAAGCGACTTAAAAGAATCAACTTTTGACACATGAGGGACATCAACCGGAAATAATCAAGTGGTGATACTGATTGGAGAATTGGACATTGGTTAATTTTGGAATTAAAATCATGTTCAAGTACATTGATCATATCTCTCCAGTTATTGGGATTGCGGTAAATCTTTCAAAAAGAAATATCATGTTAAAGGAAGCATATCTACACCATTCATATAATTAGTGCAAATAAAATGACGTCCTAAGCTGCAATCATTGGAACTATCATAGAATAGTATGACAGCACAGCTTCCTTAAGTCAAAGTTGAAGTTGACCAAAATACCAATTCCATCGATGTCCTGCATTTGACTTGGACCCTGCACGTAATCATCATGCAGATGCCTTTAAGACTTGCATCAGTAGATCCAGCTATGATCCCCGCAAGCATCAGCAACATATACAGTATTCCTTTCCTCCTCTGTTGATTTTTGTTTTCTCTACGTTTGAGTAATTCTGTCCTGTAAATTATTTTTGTTTCAAAAATCTCGAAAAAAATTTGGAATTTTTTTTTCAAATTTTTTCGTCAAAAAAAAAAGTTTTTTTTTTTTTTTTTTTTTTTTTTTTTTTTTTTTTTTTTTTTTTTTTTTTTTTTTTTTTTTTTTTTTTTTTTTTTTTTTTTTTTTTTTTTTTTTTTTTTTTTTTTTTTTTTTTTTTTTTTTTTTTTTTTTTTTTTTTTTTTTTTTTTTTTTTTTTTTTTTTTTTTTTTTTTTTTTTTTTTTTTTTTTTTTTTTTTTTTTTTTTTTTTTTTTTTTTTTTTTTTTTTTTTTTTTTTTTTTTTTTTTTTTTTTTTTTTTTTTTTTTTTTTTTTTTTTTTTTTTTTTTTTTTTTTTTTTTTTTTTTTTTTTTTTTTTTTTTTTTTTTTTTTTTTTTTTTTTTTTTTTTTTTTTTTTTTTTTTTTTTTTTTTTTTTTTTTTTTTTTTTTTTTTTTTTTTTTTTTTTTTTTTTTTTTTTTTTTTTTTTTTTTTTTTTTTTTTTTTTTTTTTTTTTTTTTTTTTTTTTTTTTTTTTTTTTTTTTTTTTTTTTTTTTTTTTTTTTTTTTTTCTCTTTTTGTCAAGAAACAACTATCATACATATATTTGGACCATGTGAATTAGGTAGAAGGTTTCAGAACTCACTTAATTCACCTTTTAAACGGTGAATGCATAGACTGAACATTACCCTACATTTAAAAACTACACAAACAATTCCTGCATATGATGCAAGTCAGAGTTTTATTATTCCAACTACGTCAGATTTATCGTGAACTTGTCAAGAATCACAGAATCAGTACTTCAGGTGCCAACAATAATTACAAAGCATAAAGGTTTCTTTTATCGCTCCTCCTTGAATTTATTCCTTGACATCCATAAAACTACTTCAAATCGAAGGTTAACCCATCCAGATATTTATCTAGTATACTTCTGATGCCAAAGAATTTTATGAAGCAAACGAAAAGTCTGTGCCAATTTTTTCTGATTTTATAGCACACTTTTTAATTTTTGGACAAAATTCAGAAAAATCCCAGTTGTTGTTGTAAATTTTATTTGTACCGTATACGTTATGGTGGTGTATTTCAATTTTTTCTAGAGTGTCATATACGTGATGAAATACCAGATCGAAAACTTGTGAACTATATGCACATGCAAAGCTTGTATGCAGAACTCTAAAATTGAAAGCGTGATATCTGTGCCAACCATGGTGGTAACACCTACCTAGTTTTACCAAATCAACTATAAATATACATAAACTACAAAGGATCTTAGAAACACAAGCCAGTCAACTTGTAAGTGCATAATTTAACTCACCTCGTTGTGTCTTGCATATTCGTTGATGCACCTGCATATAGGCATTGCTCATAGACAAGGTGTTACACCTATCTTATTACTGTTACGAACATCACAAGTCAGTCTGACTGCTTACCAGACGTAATAGACGACCTTGCAAATTCAGAAGAGTGCAAAAAAATTTTCGTTAAAAAAAAAAAGAGTTTTTTTTTTGCCACATAAAACCACATATATTCTCCAATTTCGAAGTCAACCCATCCAAAATCAACTCAAGTATACTTCTAGCGTTAAAGACTTTTATGAAGCAAACGGATTGATTTTAGCGATTTTTCCTGATTTTATATCACGTTTTTTTAGTTTTTCAAAGAAAAATTCAGAAAAATCCCATTTGATGTTGTCAATACTATTGAAACCTAAATATTACGGTGGTGTTGTTTGTTTTCTTTAGAGTGTAATATACTCGATGAATACATTTGGTTGGAAGTTCACATACGGCATGTAGTCGGAACTCCTGTGTGCAGGCATGGAACTTCGCAAGTGTGACAGGTGTATCAGCGTTTGTACTAGCCTCTAGGAAACTTGTCAAACCTAGCAAGTACGCTCAATGACTTCATTGAAGTGAAGTTAGTCATTTTGGATTCTCGTATTCAAGCTTAAAGATTTTTTTTTTCATTAACTTGGGTCGTGTGTTCCACATCTCTCACGATGCTCCTGCATATACCTTACTTAGACGAGGTGTTACACCTTCATAATCGGAAGTCGCTTTGTGTGCATACTAAACATGATAAGCTAAGCAAGAAAACCGGAGTATTGCTTGCAAACATCGTTGTTAACTCAAAATTTTTTGATTTAATAAGTACTTAGTGTTTTTCGTTTGCCCTTGGTTTTGCTTCAAGGTTCGGTAACTGTAATTTACTTAATTAAAACCTCCCGTAGATGAACATCTCGTTGTATAAAGGCTTGTTGGATGCAGGACATGATGGAGACTGGTAATAACGCCGTCAAAACTAGGAATGTGCTGATTATAGAATTTGTCTATCGCAATTAGTCAGCAGATTTGTGGTCATCGTGGAGTTAGTACGTTCTAAGTGGGTGTCGCCAACATGTGGTAATTTTGACACATGTTCCTCACGCTTAAGAC